GATAAACTATGATGGGACGCAGCTGGTGGTAAACCTGTGACCTGATAACAGTGATAGTTCTTATCAGCTCACCAGTATGTATTTTTGCTACTACTGTTGTTATTGTTGACATTTTTGTTATTATTATCTCTGTTACCATAACTATTGTTTCTTTATTATTAACATCAATCATCATTATCACTATCATTAGTTGTAGTAGTAACAGTAGTATCACTGTCATCATTGTTATTATTATCATAATCATTATTATTATTATTGCTGTTTTGATTAATGTTATCGTTATTATTATTCACAATTATCATTATTATTGTATTATTATTATTATTATTATTATTATTATTATTATTATATTATTATTATTGATTTATTATTATCATTATCATTATTATTATTCATCATCATCATCACTATTGTCATCATTATTATTATTATCATTATTATATTATCGTTATAGTTGTTATCATTGCCATCATCATTATCATATGATTATCAATTATCATTACAAATCACACTACTACAATTATTATCACTATTATTATCATTACTGATTTACTGATAATGTTGTTTGTCTCATGTGCCTGTTCGATATCCTCAGCTCTCTTTCTCTTTATATATCTATGTCCCTATCTGTCAGTCTACCTATGTATGTAATATGTGTGTGTGTATAAATGTATGTGCGCCATTTTATGTGTGTATATATATATATATATATATATATATATATATATATATATATATATATAATAATATATAATATATGTATATATATATATATATATATATATATATATATATATATATATATATATATATGTATGTATATATATATATTATATATATATATATATATATAATATATATATATATATATATATATATATATATATATATATATATATATATATATATATATAGTATAGTATGTATATAATATATATATTATATATATATATATATATATATAAATATATATATTATATATATATATATATACATATATATATATATACATTTATATTTATATATATAATATATATATATATATACAACATATATATATATATACATATATAAACACATATATAATATATACATATATATATACATATACACGTATACCAGGGGTGGTCAATCAGTCGATCGCGATCGACTGGTCGATCACAAGCCTGTTTTAAGTCAATCACATTACTGTACCTGTTCATAGTCTTTCAGAAGTTGTCATGCAAATAGCTGCAAGAGCATATCCAAGTACTCATGATACTTGGATTATTATATTTCTCTTTTTTTATGGGAATAAATTATATTTATATTTATAACGATTTGACTCCTCTACTCTCTCTCTCTCTCTCTCTCTCTCTCTCTCTCTCTCTCTCTCTCTCTCTCTCTCTCTCTCTCTCTCTCTCTCTCTCTCTCTCTCTCTCTCTCTCTCTCTCTCTCTCTCTCTCTCTCCTCTCTCTCTCTCTCTCTTCTCTCTCTTTCTCTCCTCTCTCTCTCTCTCCTCATACCTCGAGTGTTACAGTTACATTTATGAAATATGTTTGAACCTTAGGCTGGTAGATCGTATTAGGGTAACTGTAGAAAAATAGATCATATCTCACAAAAGATTGGTCTTCCCCTGATACACACACACACACACACACACACCACACACACACACACACACACACACATATATATATTATATATATATATATATATATATATATATATATATATATATATATATATAATTATTGTATTTATATATATAAAATTACATATATACATATATATGCCTGCGTGTATATAGGCAGGCGTGTGTACATACATACGTACATATTCGTTGAAGGGAATGAGGCGTTTAGCATACATTCACAGTGAAACCCCTTTCGAGCAAGCACGGTGTGCACGATCCAGCTGATCAAGGTGAACGTATCTCTCCATTTCCCTCTATCTCCCTGCCTGCTGTTCGTCAGGTTTTTAAACTTGTTCAGGTGAAGTCGACCAAAAGCAATACCTCCTGCAATCGAAAGAACACAACACATAAACACACGAAAAGATGAGGGGAAGCATAACGAAAACAGCGAAATTCCAATCAAAACTGACCAACTTCGATCTTGTAGGGTAAAAAAAGAGAGAGAGAGAAATCATGGCCGCCGCCTGAACGACAAATCATCGTCATCGCCCAAGTGCATATCTTAAGTGATAACACGAGTAAGTTCTTAAAGACAAAATTCCTTGTTCGGGCTTTCACTAAGGTCGTTGTTTGCCGCCGCCTAGTCAGCTGTGATGGGCAGCCAAGGTCGATATTCCTCGCCGGCATATCATGTGGTTATCTCCTCACAGTGTTATTCGTGGATGTAAAAAAAAAAAAAAAAAAATCAAAAAGACTTTCAGGATCCTATTTTTTGTTTATTGCTCCGATTGCATGCTTGATTGATTCGGCGAACTTCCGGCAATTAACTGTTACAGGTATGACGTTGGCACAGGAATCTGAAAGCTGATGGATTTTTATCGGGTCATGTTGACAGCTGACAGTTTGTCTGGATATTTTTTTTCGATAAAATTGTAGTTTTCGCTCTCTCTCTCTGTCTCACGGCTTACCCTCACTCTCTCTCTCTCCTTTTCTCTCTCCCTCTCTCTCTCTCTCCTCTCTCTCTCTCGTTCTCCTCTCTTTTTCCTCTCCTCTGTCTGTCTTCCGCTCTCTCCTCTGCTCCCTTCATCTCTCTCTCTCTCTCTCTCTCTCTCTCTCTCTCTCTCTCTTTCCTCTTTCTGATCTGCCAATCTCTGTTTCAATCTCCTCTCCTCCCTTTCGCCGCGTCAGTTCATGCTCTTCATGTCTGCTCCTGCTTTCTCGTCTTCTTGACTAATCTTCCCATCCTTCGACTGCTCTCTTAGGCTCGTCCTGCATTTTCTGCTCTCAACTGGAATCATACGCCTCTCCTCGCTTATCCTCTCGTATCTGTACTCGCTTCGTTCTCGCGTCGCTATGCTCCTTACCGTCCCTCTCTCTCTCTCAACTGGCTTTCTCTTCTCTCTCTCAGTGCCTCTCTCTCTGAATTATCTCCATTTCTCTCTCTGCATCCATCGATCTCTGCTCTCTCTCTTTCTCTCTCTACTCTCTCGTCTCTCTCTCTCTCTCTCCTCTCTCTCTCTTCTTCCCTCTCACCCATGTCTCGCCACTCTCGCCCGTGGTACACCTTAGCACTGCTCCCTCTGCCGCCTCGTCCCGGCGACCTACGTCGAGGGCCGACTCGTCGCTTAGCCGCTCACCTACTCTCCCGTCTTTCACCCATACTCAATCCCTCTCCCCCTCTCCTCTCCCTCTCTCTCAGTTCTCTCCCTCCTTCCCGTCCCGTCTCTTCCGCTCTCCCTCTTCTCCTTCTCTCTCTCTCTCTCGTCTCTCTCTCTCTACTAACTATCTCTCTCTCTCCTCGTCTTCTACACTTCTCCTTCGTGTCGTCCTTCTCCAAGTTGCTCACTTCGTCCAAACTCTGCCCGTCTAGACCCTCCCCATCACGTGTCCCTCTCCAACTTGCTCGCCTCTCCCTCCTCCCTCTCTCTCTCCCCCTTCGTCTGCTTCTCTTCTCCCCTTTTTTCTACCCCCGAGACCCCCCCCCCCCCTCTCTCTCTCTCTCTCTACTGCTACTCTTCTGTCTCTACCCGTTCTCTTCTCGCGCCTCTCTCTATCTCTCTCTCTCTCTCGCGCATTCTTCTCCTCTCCCTCTCCCTCGTCTCTCGTACGTCTCGTCGCTCTCTCCTCGTCTCTCTCTCTCTCTCTCTCTCTCTCTCTCTCATTCATCTCGCAGACCCTCTCTCCGCTACCCTCGTACAGGAGAAGTCTATTCAACGAAGAAGAGACACACTCCCCTCGCATAGCTCCAAGCACTCCCTTCACCTCGGTAGACGAGAGAACAGCTGCACTAGGAAGGACGAGGAGAGAAAATAGAGCAGGAGAACGTGAGTTCGGGGAGAAGAAGAGGTTTGACTTCTCTACTCTCTCTCTCTCCTCTCTCATATCTTAATTCTTATCTCTCGTAATGCTCTCTCCGAAGAGGCTCGTCATTTTCATCTTCTGTCTTGTCAAGGCGTGGGGCGGAGGCGGAGGGAAGCGAAAGTCCCCAATTTTCAAATTTTTTTTTTATTTTTTTTATAACGAAAGCATCTCAATCATCCAGTCGTTCCCGCGCCCATCTCACACTCTCTGCACCTTCATACGCCCTCTTCTCTCTCCATCAAACCTCCTCTCTCTCCCCTTTCTCCCCCCCCACCCCCTGCCTCTCTCATTCTCTCTCTATCTCTTCTCTCCTCTCTCTCTCTTCCGCTCCGGTATAACTCTCTCTCCTCGCTCCTCTGCTCCTCTCTCTCTCATTCTCTCCCTCCTTCCCTCCCTCTCTCTCTCTCTCTCTCATCTCTTCTCTCTCTCTCTGCTCTCTCTCTCTCTCTCTCTCTCTTCTCTCTCTCTTCATCTCAAATTCTCAGCCCCATTTTCAATTTTTTTTTTTTCTTGATATAACGAAAGCACTACTAACATCCTCTCCCTGCTCCCTCTCCCTCGCTCTCTCCCCGTCTCCTCTTTCTCCTCTCTCTCTCTCTCTCCTCTCTCTCTCTAACTCTGCTCTCTCTCTTCTCTCTCTCTCTCTCTCTCTCTCTCTCCCTCTCTTCTCTCTTCTCTCCTCTCTCTCTCTCTCTCTCTCTCTCTCTCCTCTCTCTCTCTCTCTCTCTCTCTCCTCTCTCCTCTCTCTCATTCTCTCTCTCTCTTCTCTCCCCCTCTCCCCTCCCTCCCTCCCTCCCTCTCTCTCTCTCTCTCTTCTCTCTCTCTCTCTCTCTCTCTCTCTCTCTCTCTCTCTCTCTCTCTCTCTCTCTCCTCTCTCGTCATTTCATCTCTTTCATTTAAGGCGTGGCGGGTGGGGGAGGAGCGAAGCCCCATTTTATTTTTTTTTTTTTTTTTTTTTTATAAGCATCTCTAATCATCCTCTCCAACACCCCTTCATATAACACAACGTCCATTATTTTTCCAGTGTATGTGCAAGGACAGCGGCCGGGCAGAGTTGGTATGCGGGACAGAACTCTCCTCGTGTTCACAGCTCACGGAAATACTGAACAAGCAGATCTTTCCTACCTCACACTACTATAAGTGAGTATAAAGAACGTATCTTCTTTCTCTTTCTTATTTTCGTTTCGTATTTTCGTGGGTTTTTCCTGTGATTCCTTCCCCCTGCGTCTATTTATTTATTTCCGCGAGACAGTGTTTTTTAATACCCAATCTAAAACAAAATTCATTTCTCTTTCTTTCTCTGTTCCTTCTTTTCTTTTTAGTATCATGATCAATAATACATCATCATCTCTCCTTCTCTCTTCTCTCTCTCTCTCTCTCTCTCTCTCCTCTCTCTCTCTCTCTCTCTCTCTCTCTCTCTCCCTCTCTCTCTCTCTCTCTCTCTCTCTCTCTCTGACTCTCTGGACTTGACTTATAGCAGATAACAGATTGTCATGATTTGTGATAAATGTAACTAATAAAAATGGGCCATAGTCACTGGTGTGGTTAAGGCTAATGAACCGCATTGTGAATTGGTGATGAGAGTAATTCATGGCATATTATAATCCCAATGAAAAGACCACATTAGGTTAACCGTGGTAAAAATAGACCACGCAAAAATCGTTGGGCGCCGGGGCATCGTCATAAACCATGATATTTCCTATCTTTCGTTTCTTTTTTTCTTAGTTCCTGGTTCCCTTCCCTTTCTTTGGTCAATTTCTTTGTTTATCTATGTCCTTAGCCTATTTTATCTTCACAGTGTTTCTTCTGGGATTGTTATTCGCCAGATCACTATAATTCCTACCTTCCCAGTAAGATCCATTCCAAAGATATATTTCACGGTTATATTTCGGGGGTTAAGGGTCCCTCAATAACAAAAAAAATCTGGTCTTTATTAATTCTTTTGTTGCTCATCTCCCTTTCTATCTCTTTAATTCCATTAGAGCCACAATCCCCATAGATTTTCATAGATCGAGATAATATATTCCAACCTCTCCATCTTGTATGTATCCAGTGCTCCATTTTCTATCCAACAATAACAAAACTTTTTCTTCTCTCTTGGTTCATTTTCTTGCCTATTATCCGCAGGTTGACTGTTTATGGAACGCAACTTGACTGCGTTATCGAAAAAGACCTATGGGGACCGTTGGATTTTGAGAAAGTCGTGTTGGCCAACAACCAATTCACTTCGGTCGACAACCACGCTTTCATCCCATTCAAGGACAGGCTGAAAACTCTGAATCTCGGTGTGTTGATGTGCTTTTGTTTTTCATTTGCTTCGTGTTGTTTACATTGTCCTTATTACTTATTACTGTTGACTTAATCATGGATTGAACTATTATCGTCATTATTTTTACGACTATCATTGATATTACTATTATCTTCATCATTATCATGATCATTACCCGTTCTTTCTTACGATTACCCAACAGAGAAGAACAAGATATCGAATTTCTTCTTTCCGGTAATCAGCGAATTACCAAATCTAAGAGAATTTGTGATAAGAAAGAACGAACTCACGTTTATTCCTGGACATGCATTCTTCAACAGCAGTTCCATAAGAATCTTTAAGGCATCACGTAATCAGCTGGATATCACGTCCGACACATTTTCAGGTGATCATTACTTTTTCTTGAAACTTGTGGAGGTGTTTGCCAGAGATGGAGAGAGCAGAGGAGGGAGGGAGGGAAGGAGAGAGAGAAAGAAGAGAGAGATAAACAAGAGAAGTAGAAAGAAAGAGAGAGGTGAGTAAGATGCACCTTACACCATATACGTTTCTATAACACTCTAACCAAACTGATATACAGTCTCTATACATGTTAACCTTGTAATATCGTCTATCCAGGACTTCCCTTGCTCGAGGTATTGGATCTGTCATATAACAAGATCACGAAGCTCTCGACCCACGTCCTCAGGATCCCGAACCACCAGGCTGACTGGCTCAAGATCGACCTCTCCTACAACGAAATTCAGAAAATAGAGTACGTGTTATTGTCTACATCGTTGCATCTGCTAACCTTGGTCTTCTGCATATTCGACACAGCGTCCATGCATAGAGGCGGTGGATATTATGGATGTGAATAATGATATCAATTTAGAAATGTTTAATCCAAGAGCATTTGATAATGTTTGAAAATGAGTAGTTGTTAAGGAATAATCATTGCAAAAATTGCTTTTTTGTTGAGTGATTTTCTATAGAATCTTAAGGGGCTTTACAGATTAACAATGAACAATACGAATGGGAAAGCAGACAATAAAGTGGGAGACGTTTTCGAGTCTAATCACAATCCCATTCAGGTGGTAACAACCAAAAACTAATTTGATTTTCTTTGGTATTTTCCGAAGATGTGACTCGAAACGTCATAATGTTACTCGTTTAGTTTCCTTTCCTAATGTTCAATTATTAATTCAATTCACCGCACGCCCTTGCATTTGTGTGAATCCACGACATATCAGAGACAACTTGAGAGCTAGAGAACCAGCTAGACTCATGCCGTCTCCAATCCACTGAAGAAACCTTTGTTCTCCTAAGACCTCCTCCCCCATTTTTGTAGGCCTAACGCATTCTCGGGGATCAGAGGTTGCATGATCAATCTGCGCAACAATCGGCTGATCACGTTGTCTGAGACGACCTACCGACCCATCATCGACTTCACCAACGCGATGGTCACCTTCTTAGTATCAGGTAGGTCGTCCTTCCCTCTATCCATCCATCCATCTATCCTATATATTTGGCATATATTATATATATATATAGGTAACATATAGTATAGTATGTTACCCTGTATGTTTGTATGTAATGTATGGGTATATGAATAATAAATGTATTTATATAATGATATAATATATAGTAGATATATATATATAATATATATACGATCAGTATGTATATATGTATCATATGTACGATTATATCATAAATATTATATATTATAACATATACATATATATACATGTGTAGTGATATATATATACATATATATATATATATATACATATATACATAGTATATATATATGTTATATATATATATTATAATATATATACATAATATTAGCACCACACCAAACACACAAACACACACACACACACACACACACACCACACACACACACACACACACACACACACACACACATATATTATGTAATAAACTGATATATATATATATACTCATTAGTAAATATATATATCTTGCTCTGTTAAGTGGGAAAATTTTGTTGTGAATTTATGAAAAAAAACTAATAAATGAAAAAGGAATATAAAAATAAAATATAAAAGAATAAAATAATATATAATTAGTAAATAGGATAATAATACAAATAATATATAAAAAAATAAGAAAAATAAATAAATATTAATAGAAAAAACAAAATAAAAATAAATAATAATAATCAAATAAAATAAAAAAAAAAATAATACTATAAATATTAAATAAAAAATAATAATAAAAATAATATATTAAACATCTAATATAAATATTAAAAATAAAAAAAATAAAAATAGATATGAAATACAATTAGAATAATAAATATAAATAATAAAAATAATAAAATAACAAATATATAAAATAATAAAAAAAATAAAAAAATGAAAAAAATAACAAATAAAATAAATAAATATAAAAAATAAGATAAAAAAAATGAAAAAATATAAAATACATTAATGAAAAAATATTAAAAAATGATAAAGTAATTAATATAAAATAATATATATAAAAAAATAAATATAAATATATGATAATAAATAAAATATCATAAATTATGAGAAAAAAATATCATAAAATAAATAAAATAAATAAATAATTAGAAATAAGTAGAAAAGATATGATAAAAAAATAATGAAATATAAAATAAAATAAATAAAATAAATATAAAAATAATAAATATAAAAATACAATAGAAAATAATATTAAAAGAAATGATATAAATAAAATCAATAAGAAATAAAAATAAATAAAATTGATGAAGAATTATAGAACATTAAAAATAAAAATAGGTTATGAAGTCAATAAAATAAATTCAAATCATAGAAAAAAATAAAATGAGAAAACAAATAAAAATATGAACAGATATAAAAAAAAAATAAATATATCAATAATATAGACATATCAAAATAATAACATGGAATAAATATAATAATATATGAAAAAGATCATAAAAAAATAATATAATAAAAATAACATAATTATAATATACGTGGGCCCCAACAAGCGCAAATCACGACAGATACATCAGTTTGATTAGATCGAGTTGAATAAAAAAACGGCAGCAATGAACATTAACCACTGACGCCAACTATACATCTTTTACTTCTAGTAAACGGTAATTCATCTGTTACCATATATCAATTCAATAAAATGAACGACACACACATACCAAACAAATCCTTAATGAAATAATGAATATATATATATAGAATTTCTGTATATTTATACGTATAATATATGTGTTGTGTGTGTGTGTGTGCTGTGTGTGTGTGTGTTATATTAATATATTATATAATAATATATATATATATATATATATATATATATATTAATATATATTATAATATGAATGTATGTTTATATGTATATATACATATTATATATATATATATATATATATATATATATATATATATATATAAAAATACGTATATATGTGTGTATTTATATATGTAGATATATTATTATATACATATATATAGATAGATAGATATTGATATACAAATGTGTACATATGTGTAATATAGGATAGATAGATATACAATAAAACACTCACACACGCACAAACACACACACACACGCACACACACACACACACACACACACACACACACACACACACACACACACACACAACACACACCACACACACACACACACACACACACACACACAACACACGCACATACCACAC